CAACGGGGGTACTCATTTAAGGGTGAGTCGACCTAGGGGAGGCCCGGGACCGGTTCAGATATTTTTCCACTGATGTTATCAGAGTCAGAATCGAGATCTTTTTTTCGACTGGAGTAGGAATCCCAAGCGATGTGAAGTTTTTTTTTTCTCACAGAAATCCAGTATGGGGGCGGGTCAGCATGTTAAGCCGTGAGCGGGAATGGAAACGCAGACGTGAACTCAGATGATAACTTAGACCTTAAATTAGACCTTAACTTAGACGTGAACTCAGACGTGAACTCAGACGCGAAGCTCAGATGTTAACTCAGACGCGAACCCACGTGGATTGTGGACGGTACGCCACGCAATCACAAGTGACGAAGATCCCCTCCCGTACAGCCTTCTCTGACTTGGTGGGTCAAGTGGCATTAGCGACACAAGTAAATTCGCGCGCGCACACAAAGACAAGGATCCCCCGTACAGCCTGAACAGACTGTAGGGGCAAGTGCTGTTAACGAGCACCTATGAAGGCCGGAACGGTACGCGAGGGAGTGGGTGACAAGCGTGTGTATGTGTGTGGCACACGCACACACACACGCACGCGCACACACACACACGGGCAATAAACATCACGAGTCCAAAGCACGGATACTTTCACGGCCACTCGGTGGCGCCAGCCTCCACTCGAGGCGTGCGAGCTTCGCATTGCCCCCTGCATCGGCTCTGGCTGCGCGGAGAGTCGACGTTGTTTTTGGGTTCGAGCAACGCTGCTGTTCGGCATTAATGTCCGACGTTTCGCTCCACGTGCTGCTGGGGTTGAGGGGGGGGGGGGGAGGCTATTCGGGAGATTGAATTGAGCCCTCGTTTCTCCTTCTCCCCGCACGTTGTGCAACGCTGCCGGCCGCTGTTGGTGTCGATTCAATTCTCAGCAACACGTGGCGCGAAACGTCGGACATCGTGCCGATAAGGAACGAATCCAACGACAAATATACCCCGTATAGCCTTCACATACTTTTGGGTGCAAGTGCTGGAAAGCGAGGACCTATGAAGGCAGGAAAGGTACGCGAGGGGTGTAGGGGGGGCAGCGCCACGCCCGACCGCCTTTGTCTCCCCAGTGGTGGTATTCACACACAGCACGAGTCAACGAGTCAACCCCGAATACACAAACAAAGATAAAGACAAAGGTACCCCCGTTATAGCCTTAACAGACTGTAGGGGCAAGTGCTGTTAGCGAGCACCTATAAAGGCCGGAACGGTACACGAGAGGGGTCGGTGGCCAACACCACGCCCGACCGCCTTTATCTCCCCAGTGGCGATGTTTACACACCGTGCTCATTTGAGGCTGAGTCGACCTAGGGGAGGCCCAGGACCGGTTCAGATAATCGTCACTGGGTGTTGGCCGTGAGCAGGAATCGAACCTGGGTCGCGGGGGTTCAGAGCACAGCGCGCTAACCGCTACACTACCGCTCCCCCACATATACACACACACACAGACACTCTCACACACACACACACATAGACACTCACACACAGACACTCACACACACAGACATTCACACACACACATGTACAACTCAATCACGTCTGTCACTGCTCTGGTGCCTTGTCGATGACTGACACACGTGACTTGGACCGGACCTCGAGCTCGCTTTCATAAGCCCTTCTGTCGGCAGTAAAGGTTCACTCGCCACATGCAGGGCCGCGCTTCTAGCTTTACTCCGTAAAGTCACTTGTGATTGAGTAATCAAAAACGTGGGCTGTACCTTATTATTATTATTATTATAAGGGGGGTGGGGGGCGGTGGGGGCTTTGTTGTGTTATAATTAATCGAGCTGTACAGGTGTGTGGTCATACCGTTGCGCGCATATAGATTGTTTGCGCTCGCCGTCTTGAATGATTATAGAAAAACACCTCCACCATCGTTAACTTGCTGACAAATGAGTCCCAGTAGATATGATGAGCTGACCCACTTTTTTGTTGTTGAGCTAATTAAGCCCCGCCCCGCAACCCCCATCCCCCCAACCCCCCTCCCCCCACGCTCCAATGCAAAAATCTTTAAATACTTGTCAACGCATTTGCTATTCAAGGCATGCATATGTCAGCCATAACTAACTTAATTCTGAGTTATTCAGGTTTACCATACGTTCCGAATGCCATATTTGTAAATGATGGGAAAATCTCATCATCATCATCATCACGACCATCATCATCGTCACGGAATGATAGCGTAGGCTAGGGAAAAAAGAAGATCTTGCAAATAAAAACACGGGTATCGTGTGAAAAGCTTTACAACCGTTTGTGACATCCGCAAAAAAAACCTTCCTAAATAAGCAAATTGCCCTACCCTCTGGTCTTTGGATCATCGTCAAAATAAATTTGAGAAGATATCACCGACAAGCTCTGAGACAGACTGTGAAAGCAGTGAGCGGTGGTGACCGTACCGTGCTGATGAGCCCTGATCAAAACGACACCGGTCCAAAATTTGCTAAAATTTATTTTGACGGTGATCTAAATGTTGATGGTTTACATTTTTTTTTGCAATTGCCACAAATGTCTGCGGTGCTTCTTTTGTTTGTTACGCATTTTTGTTGTTGTTGCATCTATAAGTTCAACACTTTCTGGATTGTAAGATGCCCGGTAGTCAAATAAAGTCATGGAATCGTGGTCCCACACACACGCAAACACATACATATACACACACACATACACCGGTACAGAAGATGGGGGGGGGGGGGCAGTGCGTCTTAAAATCTAGAGGATCCGGTCACATTAAAACATATATTGAGAGTTTAATTGGCGCTCCTTTAAGGCGATTATGATAACACGTCAGATGATTTCCAGGGACACGCAAATACGCATCCATTGTTGCTATTAGCTTTCGAAATTAGGGCGCCGTTCCTTCGAAAGATAAATTACTGTGAAATGTTTGCAAAACGCATTTTTCTTTTTTTGTGTTCTCCCAAAAGACATATATAATGGTATTAAGTATTTCTGCACAGAATTTCGAAATAAAAAAACACGAAATAAAGTAAAAAAAACCATACACGTACAATTCGAAATTAAGTCTTAAATCTACCGCAGCGGGCTCCCTTTAACTGGCCAAGGGCTCTAACTACTTGGCCATCATTTCCTGAAGCCACACCGCGAGGACGATGGGAAAGAGGGATGCATGTGTTACGCCACGAGGTCCCGATGCACGCCTCCCCCCCCCCCCCCCTCAAACAAGAAGGGGGTTAAATCCGTGAATGAAAGCCAACAACAAAACCCAGGCCCCATTCGCACTCACTCCAGGCCCACGATTCGTTGCCAGCGATGCGGGACTTTGGGTGAATGGCTTAATTATAGTAATGAGTATCCCCGTTTTCGTGCGTGTGGGGGTGGAGCGGAGGCGCGGGGGGGGGGGTCCTGGTGGGGGGGGGGGGGGTTGTAAGGAAGCAGGGATAGGAGAAGGGTAAGTCAGCGGCGCGCCGTCTCCCCGGCCTGATGATGATGATGAATGCGAGGGAGCGCTCCGCACCCGCGTGTGTAATGTCGTTATTTCATGGCAATGGGCTCAGAAGTGATCGACTTGGTCGCGCGCGAATTCCGGGGGAAAGCGGGTGTCTGGGTCAGTGGCGCAACGGGCGGGCGGGCGGGCGGACGGGCGGGCAGAAGAACGCGTGGGACAAGGGGTGGAGAGACGGGCGGACGGACGGATGGAGAGATGGACAGACGGACGGAGAGAAGAACGAATGGAAGGACAGACAGATTGGCGGACACGCGTAAGGACATACGCAAGAACGGAGGAAAGGGACTGAGAGATGGATGGACAGAGGGACAGACAGACAGACAAGGCGGTCGAACGGAGAGATTGGACGGAGAGATTGGACGGACGGATGCAAGACGGACGGACGGTCGGACGCGAGCAAGCGGGAAGCGTGAGTGCACTCGAGTGCACGCAGGCACGCAGGCGATATCAGCTCTCACCGATACCATCATCATTATTATTATGCCCTATAGACACCTCTCGCAGCCTTAGACCGTTGGGCCAAGTGCTGTTAGCGAGCCCTATTATTAAGACCGGCACACGGCTCTTGAGAGCTCCCTCCACAGAAGAGGGGTTATTTGGCCTACTCTTCCACGCTGCCCGGAAGAGACCAAGAATATAATTGGGAGTGGGGCGGAGGCTTGGGGGAGGGGGGGGGTAGTAGTTGAGAGTAAGCGGTAGTTGTTGTGTTGTTGTTGTTGTGTTGTTGTTGTTTCCTGGTGGTGGCGGAGGGTGGTTGGTTGGTTGGTGGGGAGTGCTGGTGGATTGGGGGGGGGGGGGAGATGTCTGGCTCGTAAAACACTGGCGGGGAAATTCGGCAGTGGAGGGAAGGGAAGTGGGGGACTCGGGGAGATTTTCACGGCAGATTATTTCATGAGTTACGGCATTAGTATTTTAACAGCCCCCTAATATGCATGCCCATTGCTCGGCCCCGCACGGATAGAAGCGGAGCCGCATTTCACGATCATTCCTGGCTGTCCAAATTTACCCACCACCCCCACCACCCCCACCGCCTCTCTCTCCCCCCACCTACCCCCCACCACCACAACGTGCCCCCAACCACCCCCACCGCCTCTCTCTCCCCCCACCTACCCCCCACCACCACAACGTACCCCCCACCACCCCACCGCCTCCCTCTCTCCCCCGACCTACCCCCCACCACCACAACGTGCCCCCCCACCACGTCCTCGTTCGTGCCGGCGGGGGGGGGGGGGAACCTCTCGGCGAACGGACCGGTCGCATCACCGCCTTCCCCTCGACTGGCTGCGTCGCATTTGCATGAGCGAGGCGAGTGGGGGGACGGTGTGGGAGAGAGAGAGAGAAGGCGAGCGAGCGCTGCGTTGAATTGAGCCGCTCCTCTCTCTCTCTCTCTCGATCTGTCACTCCCTTCCCCTCTCTCCCTCCCTCCCTCCTGCCCACCAATTCCCTCCCAAGCATCTCACCTCCCACCCACCCCGCTACCTCCCCTCCACTCCCTCTCTACCCCCACCCCACCCACACAACCCACGCCTCGACACGCAAACCTGCCCAACCACCCAGCCACCCCTTCCCCCGTCCAGCGCAAGCACTCCTCTGGTCGCGGATTTGTGTCGAGTAATAACTGCGAGGGAGCCGCCACTGTTTGGTGGTGGTGGCTGCGGCGGAAGACGGCGTTTGCTGGCTGGGTTTTCGCGTGGCCTGTTGCTGCTACTGCTGCTGCTGCTACTGCTGCTACTGCTGCTGCTGCCCTTACGCAAGGCAATGCGCTCGGTATCCCCGCGAGCGAGACGCAGTATCAGAGGCATGGGACATCACAGCGCTTGGCAGTCCACCTGCTAACACCATCATCATCATCATCATCGCCGCCGCAGCTGCCGTCACCCGGTTCCTCCGGCCCGAGATCAACTCGGCGCAACAGCGGGCGAGGCGTCGCCACTTCTTGGCGATTTTTGTCACGATCAACTTTTTTTCGCGTCGACTTGAAATTCAATTCCCGTGCTCGCAGCTGAAAGCGCGAGGCACCCGGCCACCCTGCACGCTGCGCCCGGCGCGTGCAACGCAAGTTTGCGTCTCATCCTCCAGCCGAGCCCCTAAACCACGGCGACCAACATCCATTGTGGGTGACCCGCTCACGAACGGGGCGTTCAAGACGGCAAGCAAACAAGATCCGAGGGATAATCCGAGAGCGAATTGACAGATCGTCGCTCGCCGCCGTCATCCGAGTCGCTCGGAGTTGCGTTTGTGTCCCCCCTTGTTCCCGCGGGAGAAGATGGTGGGCAGGCGCGCGAGGTGTTGGTGATGCCCCCTTGCAGACCATGGTGACAGGGTCCCACGGCTCACACAGCCTCGAGAATAATAATAATAATACCATTACATCGACGACGACATGCCTCCCACTTCTCCGTGGACCATGCTGCCCCGGCAGCTGCCCTCCACTTCCTCGACGCCGCCGCCTCTGCCGCGGCTGCTGCTGCTGCCCCTCGCCGTGCTGTGTCTGGCTCTGGGGGCAGCCGAGTGCGAGCTGTACGGGGCAGTGTCGATCCACAAAATCATCGTCGGGGGCAAGCACCGCGGGCCGCTCACCGCAGCGCATTCGCCCTCCTCCCTGCGCTCTCGGGGTGAGTTGCGGCTCCTCGTGGCGAGTGAGTGAGCGGTGCGAGTGAGGCGTTCTTCCTATTGTCGTACGGCTTCATGTTGAGATGCAGGGCAACGACTGCAATTTCACATTCAGGTGGTCAAGCCCAGATGACGGCGTCAGGATCGGCAAAGTGCATCGCTGCGTCAACGTGAGTGAGCTGAGTGGAGCGAGTGAGCGATTAAGCGAGCAAGGTTCATTTCTAATATTGGCGCTACGAACCTGGCGAACCGAGTTAGATTCCACGCTCACGGCCAACACCGGTTACGATTATCTGAACAGGTCACGGGCCTCCCCTAGGTCGGCTCAGCCTCAAATGAGTACCTGGGTGCGGTGTGTAGTAAACGTCGCCACGGGGAAGACAAATCCGACCGGGCGTGGCGCAGGCCACCCACCCCCTCGTGTGCCGTGCCGGCCTTCATAGGTGCTACTCGCTGACAGCACTTGTCCCAACAGTCTGTTAAGCCTCTACGGGAGATCTTTGTCGTCTGTGTGTGTGCGTGCACTCGAGTGCTGGCACGACGCGCCTGATCCAGGCAATGCGCAGATACACACACGGATCAAGGCAATTGCCTACCCTCCCGTATAGCATTTAACATGCCGTTTGGGCGAATGCTGTTAGCGAGCACCTATTTAAGGCCGCCACGAAACCGCGAAGGGTTTGGGTGGCCAACACCACGCCCGGCCGCCTTTGTCTCCCCGAGTGCCAATGTCTTTACACATCGCACCAGGTACTCAATTGAGGCTGAGTCGACCTAGAGGAGGCCCAGGACCGGGTTCGGATAATCGTCACTTGGTATTGGCCGTGGGCTGGCGGAATCGAACTCGGTTCGCCGCACGGACACACACACATACAAACACACAAACATACACACACGGCGACAGACGTACACAGCGGCGCAGAGACACGAGACGCACATTGTGCCGCACTCGCCTGCACAACAACGGGGGGGGGGGGGGTGGAGTGGGCCTTGTGACAACCACAACCACCACCACCGCCAACAACAACAACACGTGCCGCGCACAATGATCACCTCCAGCGCGACTGATTGAGGATTGTTCAACACGGGGGCTCCTCAATCCGTTTGAGATTCGCGCCCCCCAAATGGTGTTGGCTACGGCACGTGCCACGACCCGCCCACCTTTGCCTCTCTTCTTTCACCGACCCCGCCGCTGATGAAACGCGCACGCCACCTCTCTATCACCGGGGTCTTCGCTTTGTTTTTTTGGGAATCCGTGACGCCTGGCGAGGAGATGCTTCGGAAAGAAGAAAGAGAAACCCCGTTTCTGATACCGCCTGCCAAATTGATTCTTACAGCCGCGGTCTGGAATCGAACCTAAAGCGGCCCAGGCTCGTAGCACACGCACAGATTATTACGCAAAGGAGGACAGGCCACTGACAGTACAGCCCACTCGCAGTACAGCACGCTCACAGTACAGAATACAGACAGTACAGCCCGCTCACAGTACAGAATACAGACAGTACAGCCCGCTCACAGTACAGCCCATTGACAGTACAGCCCACTGACAGTACAGCCCACTGACAGTACAGCCGACTGACAGCACAGCCCACTGACAGCACAGCCCACTGATAGTACAGCCCGCTCACAGTACAGCCCACTGACAGCACAGCCCACTGACAGTACAGCCCACTCACAGTACAGCCCGCTCACAGTACAGAATACACATAGTACAGCCCACTGACAGTACAGCCCACTGACAGCACAGCCCACTGACAATACAGCCGACTGACAGTACAGCCCACTCACAGTACAGCCCGCTCACAGTACAGAATACACATAGTACAGCCCACTGACAGTACAGCCCACTGACAGAACAGCCCACTGACAGTACAGCCCGCTCACAGTACAGAATACAGATAGTACAGCCGACTGACAGTACAGCCGACTGACAGTACAGCCGACTGACAGTACAGCCGACTGACAGTACAGCCCACTGACAGTACAGCCCACTGACAGTACAGCCCACTCACAGTACAGCCCGCTCACAGTACAGCCCGCTCACAGTACAGCCCACTGACAGTACAGCCCACTGACAGTACAGCCCACTGACAGTACATTCAGTACACACCGCAGTGCCTCTACAACCACAACGCCCCGCGTGCATGTTATCGCTGGATCTCGGAAGTTAATCGGGAATTGTGGAGCCCAGGTTATGACTTGGATGGGAGACGATGTGGGAATTACAGCGCATAGTCGGATCTTGGGTTGCGAGGTAGCCAAGGGCAGCGCGTGACAACGCGGCAATGGGGAATCTTCATCGGATCTGCGCGGAGCTTTGCGAGTGTCGGTTCACCCTGTCGCACGGGCTGGTGTTGGGAGCTTCCCTCCGCGTGTCTTGGATCCCTGCTCGGTAGATGATTGGCCAAGCACATCCCCGTGTGGCCAGGACCCTCCTGGGAAACGCGTCACGAGAACTCGGCCACGAGTGTCGTGCGCAAGACGATTGTCTGGCACGCCGTCATGCGATGTTGTGGCACGATCAATGCACGTGGTTGGTTAATGCACTACGAGGATGATCTCGGTTTAGGGTTACCTGCATACGGGACCGGTGGGTTAAGGATCTCCGAAGCGAGTAGCTATTTATAAGGGCACGAGGTTGTGGTTGATCCAGACGCCGCGCGCGACCGCCTTTGTCTTCGACAATGATCATGGTGACGATTGTGGATGTCGTATGCACCAATAGCAGGTATTCATTTAAGGCGTAATCGACCTAGGGGGAGGCCCAGGTCCGGTTCAGATCATCGTCAGTGGTGTTGGCCGTGAATGGGAATCGAACACGGGTCGTTGGGTTTCGTAGCACAGCGGTTATGCTGTACACAAATATAAAGACAAATATCCCCCGTATAGCCTTAACAGACTGTTGGGGCAAGTGCCGTTAGCGAGCACCTGTGAAGTCTGGTTCGGCACACGAGGGGGTGGGTGGCCAGCACCACGCCCGGCCGCCTTTGCCTCCCCAGCGGCGATGATTACACATCGCACCGGGTACTCGTTTGAGGCTGAGTCGACCTAAGGGGGGGGGGGGAAGAGATCCAGTTCCAGTTCAGATAATCGTCACCGGTGTTGGCCGCGAGCGACAATTCGGGAGTCGCCAGATTTGTCGCGCAGCGGCCCCAACCGTTGCACCACCTCTCCCCGCACGCGCGCACGCACGCCAGCACAATCGCCACGTGTCCGCACCCGCGCGTACACGTGGCGATTCGCGTATACGTCCGCGCGCACGCCAACACAATCGGCGTACGCCTGTTCACACACAGTCACATCGGCGTGCACACACGCACGCGCACAGGCACACACGCACGCACACACGCGCGCGAACGCACGAATTCTCTCCTGGAGACATCCAATCCGGCAGTTTGGGGGTATCCCCCCCCATACTTCACAGCCCACTGCATCGCTCGTTAGTCATCGAGCAGGGAGCAAGTACTGTTAGCGAGCACCTATTATTATTATTATTAAGGTCGGAAACGCCTTTGTCTCCCCCCCTCCCCCTGCTTTGCTTTTGTTTTACCTACCGCACAAAGTGCGAATTTTAAGGCTGAGCGGACCTAGGGGAGAGGTCCGATTGAAGAGCGCATCTGACACCACTCGCCACACTGATCGCGATAGCCGTGGTCGAGAATCGCATTTGAGGGGGTTGCCGTGTCCATCGCGCGCGTCTCGCTCAGCCTCCGCTCACAAAACCAAAACGCTGACGCAGCGACCGCCGTGTCACCACGTAGAACCATAAACAGACTGGAGAAACGCGATTAGCGAGCACCTATTGAAGCCGCATTCGTACACGAATGGGCAATGTGGTCAAAGCAATGGACGCGGCGGTGTCCGTCTTTGTCTCCCCATTTGACGATGCTGCACGCATTTCATCACGCGTTCATTTAAAGGCTGAGTAGACCTAGAGGGAGGTCCCGCGCGCCGGTTTAAATTTGTAGGATTCGAACCGTGGCGGGCAAAAGGGTCGGAGCAATGCAAAATGCCGCCTGCTCGCTGGGGTTCGAGGTGCACCGCTCTCCCACCGTACCACAGCGAATTGCATCGGCATCCACGCTTGAGTGCAGAGCCCATCGCTGCGTCAAGGCTGCTTACGGGAGACCTCTTGCCGCTTGCGTCTTGGCTCAGCGGTGCGATTTGCAAAGGCAACGGATAAAAGGTAAAAAAAAATGGCAAAGGCGCAGCCCTGCAATGGCTCGCTCACGCCACCGCTTGGCGGAAGAGCCTCCACCAGAGGGAGCTCATGCGGTCAATTTGCTTGCGGCCCGCAACGGTAGCCCACGCCTTGGCACGCGTACCGATCATCTCGCTGCAAGTGCGCGCGTTTAAGTCGTCGCACGCTTCACGCGCCCGATGATTGTTACACACACACACCCCCAACATGCCGTAGAGACGGCGAGTGATTTGACTCCGGCGAATAAAGCCCGGGCTCTATTCGAGATGCACGCACGCACGCTGTACATTATTGTGAAATTGGCGCCGTTCTACGCCATTTAGTACAAAGACAAAATCCCCAGGCTGTCGGAGCAAGTGCTGTCAGCGAACACCTAATGAAGGTCGGCACGGCCAACGAGTGTGGGGCGTGGCCCAGCACTACGCCCGGTCACCTTTGTTGTATGCGCCTAAGGGAGCGGATCAAGAGGATCGTCTGATACTGTTTTGAACCATTTTATTTAATCTTACCAAGTAAGGCCCACTGAGCTGCTGCACAGCTGTTTTTTTTCTTTCCAGAAGCGACTTGGCTATCGCAAATGATCGCTCAACGAAGTGGCTTACCACGTGGATAATTACGTATAGCAGCCTAAATACTCGAATCGCACGTTTTTAAATGTGGAGGGAAACACTGGAGGAGCCGGAGGAAAAATCCACGCGGGCCACAGTGAGAGAGAGAGAGACGTAAACTCCAAATATATAGCAGGCATCAGGGTTTGGGATCGATCCCACGACCTCCTGTATAACCAGCGAGGGAGTTAAC